CTTTGCCAACCACGGACCGTGGGCGGCAGTGTGCCAAGTGTAGCTTATTGGCCCGCCCGGAGGGGGGCACAGTAAAGGCCACAGGTCCTTCGTCTTCTTGAACTCGAGAAAGCCAAACACCACATCCGCCAGCTCCTTTGCTGTAATAAGCGGATCGGCAACCACTCGGTCCTTGGCATTTTTGCCCGTTGCAGCGGAAGCGCCGTCCGCCAGCTTGACCGAAGCTGCAGCTGCTAAGGAAGCCATGCTCGCAAGACTGTATATACTGTGTATGTATAGGATTTATGATTTCTCAAAAAAATGGAATGCATTTGTCTCTGTCTCCATCCAGCCTCGCACTTACCTCTGGGTCTCGTCTGGACCAAACACACAGCTGCAACGTCCGAAAATTTTTCTCACTCTCGGATCTCAGAAAAGTATATATATATATATATATATATAAGTAGATCTCTCGCATGTAACCTACAAGAGTCTCGCACAGGTAAAGGTGGACTCCTCGCAGGTATAAACTATATTGTGATGACTCTCGCAAATGTACATGTACCGATTTCTCGCATGTAAAAAGCACACATCGCAAGCAATCCGCCGGCTCGACCCAGCACAGAATCAAACCGAGCTGCGATTTCAACATGGAAAACCATGGCTTAACAAGTATGCTTGCAACACAATTCTCATAATTTTATCTTCACACCTGACCATGCCGCACTGTACAGTCGCAGGAAAATCTCATGCAATCAACAAGCAGAACCATGATAAAAGAAACAAAACCAACCAAAATTAGCTTGCATTTCACTTCTTCAAATTCGGGAATGTGTAACCTAAAAACATGTATTTTGCAGTGTAAAAAAATTTACATTGCAGTGTAAATTTTTTACTATACAAAGTAAATTAATTTACACTTTTTTTTTACGTAAATTTTTTCGTAAATTTGAAGTGTAAACCAAGCTTTGTTTAGTAAATTGCTCGCCACCTAAAATTAGGTAAACAGCAGGGTCAGGGAAAGCCTGAAGCAGCTTCACTGGGAGCTTCGCGAGCCAGCTCCTGATCAGGTTGACACACTTACTGTCAACAGATCTTACGCCATTTTGGCGACTTCCGCTGCAGGTGATCAGGTGCACCTGGAATCTCCTCCGGACCTCCGTGGTAGCTCTCGCTGGTCTGTTGACGGCCTTCCCACTCAGGTCATTGCTACTGATGATACGGTGTGCACACTTGCGGAAAGCCTTTCTTCTTTCGGCCAAGAACTTGAGCAGGTACAGACGCTCTCTTCTGTGACCGATTTGTGTATTGAGTTTCAACAATTATGGGCCCCCCGTTGGCAACAACATGCTTCCACTACTGCTGATGATTGGCAGCGCTTCCTTGACTTTGCAAAGGCTTTCATGCCTCGGCACACCTTTGATTTGCCTGACATTGATGCTGCGTGCTGGTGTGCCGCCCTCCGGCGCTTCAAGGTGCGTGCCGCCCGCGGCCCCGATGGCTGGGCTCGCGACGACCTCCTTCATCTGCCTCCCTGTCGCACGGCAGAACTGCTGGCTCTCCTGAAAGCCATCGAGCTGGAGGAGCGGGAATGGCCTCGACAACTGCTGGTAGGCTTTGTGTGCATGCTCAGCAAGCGCAACGGTCGCACTGATGCCCAGGGTTTTCGGCCCATTTGCCTTTACTCCGTGATTTAGCGAACCTGGGCTGGGATCAGGGCCCGTCAGACTCTTTCCGCCTTGCGACGCCTCGTACCCGACGGCCTGTTTGGCTTTGTACCCGGCCATGAGGCTGCCGAGCTCTGGTTCAGTTTGCAGCTTGAGGTTGAGCTTAGTTGCCAGGGCCGTACCCCCATGTTGGGTCTCTCCACGGATATCATCAAGTGCTTCAATAACCTGCCCCGCTTACCACTGCTTGCATTGGCCTCCCAAGTTGGTTTTCCTTGGCGGCTCCTTGCACCTTGGACTTCTTTTCTTCAAGGCACTGAACGTCGCTTTTTGATCCGTGGCCAGGTGGGCCCTCCGCTTCGGTCCACATCGGGTTTCCCCGAAGGTTGTCCCCTGAGCCCTGTTGCTATGGTGCTGGCCGACTGGGCCTTCCACTCATATATGCAGGTCTTCGCGCCGTCGATTCGCTCTTTGAGCTATGTCGACAACCTGGCTTGCACCACTCACTCTCCCGCATCTTTGGCGCGAGCCTGCACGCTGGTCCAGTGCTTCATGGATCTGCTCCGTCTCCAGCTGGACTCTTTAAAGACCTTTGTTTGGGCCACGCAGCCTGCATGTCGCAAGGCCATCAAGGGGTTGGGCTTTCCTGTGGTGGAGGCCGCCCGGGAGTTGGGCGGTGTACTCTCGTTCGGGGCCCGTGTCCGGAATGCTGTGGTTCGCGATTGCTGCTTGGCTTTGACGCTCATCTGGAAAGCGCTGCGTCGCTCTCGGGCACCAGGTTGCCTTAAACTGCTGGTTCTTCCTGCCAAGTGTTGGGCAAAGGCCCTCCATGGTTGCTCTGGAGCCCCGTTGGCCGATGCCACCATCCACCGCCTGCGCACCGCTGCCACGGCCGCCCTCAACATCCGCCCCGGTGGTTCTTCTTCCCTGCTCCGACTGAGCCTCTCCAATCCCATGACGGCCGATCCGGGATTTTATGAACTTTGGGCTTGCGTCAGCGAGATTAGACGGATGGCGGGCAAGCTACCAACTTCTTGCAGTGTTGGCATCAATTCGCCTCCCACTTCGACGGTGCTCGCCTGCACGGCCCTTTTACAAAACTTGGCCTGGCTCTTGCTAAGGTTGGCTGGAGCGTCCCACAACCACCTTTAGTTCAGGACCATGAGGGGCTAGTGCATAACTTCTTGCGCCTGCCAAAGGCTCTCTTGAGGCGTTTGCTGGAACACGCGTGGCTTCAGCATGTCGCCCGCTCCCACAACCATCGGTTTTGCCATGGCTGACCTATCGGGACTTGATGTGGCTCTTCTGCATGCGGACTCCCGGACACTATCGGCCCTCGATGGCGCCCGCGAAGCGGCCATTCGCTCCGGCGCGTTCCTGTTTGGGCACCAGCACTCATATTATGATTTGAGCCAATCCGGCGAATGCCCCACATGTGGTGTTCCGGACACTGTCGCACCCCGCATTTGTCATTGCGAGCGCCACGCCGCTGCACGAGCGGAGCACCAGTGGGTATGTGACCTGTGGCCCACACTCCCTCTGTCTTTGACGCACCATCTGTTGCCAGCGGCTAATCCTTTCTTGCCACGCCTCCGCTACTTGCTGCAGCACACGACGGATACTACGGGGGTTTTCTTCTGTTCAGGGTTCGGTTCTGGCTGGCAGCATCTGTTTACCGATGGATCTTGTGTCGATCACGAACACATGGACTTTGCTTTGGCTGGCTGGGGACTTGTGCATGCGCAGCACAACACTGCGCTGGCTTGCGGGGCATTGCCTGGGATCCACCAGACCGCTCCCAGAGCAGAGTTTACAGCGATGACAGCGGCAGCGAGGTGGGCCCTACGTTTTGGCTTACCTTGTTTCGTTTGGTGCGATGCTCAGGCTGTTTGTGATGGTGTGACACTGATTCAGGATGGGGGCGACTTTTCCCACTTTGCGGATACAGATCTCTGGCAGGACTTGGCAGCGCTGCTGGAACAACTTCCGGCACATCGCTTTCAGGCTCGGCATACTCCGTCCCACCTGGACGACCGCCTCACGGACAGCCCTTTTGAGGACTGGCTGGCCCAGCATAATGCACACGCGGACCTCCTGGCCGTGCTCAGCAATCGCAACAGGCCTGCTGCACTGGTTGATGTCCACCAAAGCGCGCTCCGCTACCACAGGCAGACATTACGCATCATCCGCAGTTTGCGTTCCATCTTCTTTGCTGTCGCAGCACACAACACATCCACTTCGGACTCGAACATCGACCCATCGACAGAAGACCCCGAGGAGTTGGTACCTTCACCGGGCACCGTGCCAAGGCGACTTGATTTGGAAGATGTACTGCCTATCAATTGGCAGCCTATGCTTGACGGAGTGCAATGCCGATTGCCGGTCGGCTTTATACAACAGTTGTGCACCTTTCTTTTCCGCCTGGACGCGGAGGCGGAGGAGGCATACACTTTGTCATGGCTGGAGTTTGTCTTTTTGCTACACCATGAAGGCCACTACCCTTACCCAGTCTGCGACAACCAGGGCCACTGGCAGGATCCGGCGACGCTTGTGTTTTCTCCGCCAGAGCATACGGTGGCTGTGAGGCTTAGTTTAGTTCGACGGGCAATGCGCCCAGCTTTGCGATGCCTGGGGCTCGAGCACATGTGTGTTGGCAACATCAGTCTTGCTGACTTAGGGGTTCGTTTTGCTCTTGACGGTCTTGTTGTCGGGATTCGCAATGCTCGGCTCCTACGGGCGCGTGCACATGTCGGTCAATTTGTACAGGGTCGAGCTACTGTAACCAAACAGATTCTCGCCAGACCGCTCTGATTTCACCCCAGACTCTGGATTCATCGCTGCGGTCTGCACTGCGCCCGCCGTGCAACCGCTCAAGGCAAGCGTGAGTTATACTAAACCCCCTCAAACCCATCCTTAAACGACCGAGGCCGTTTTCAGCACAGGGGCCTCCTTAACCCTAACCTCAAACCCCTAAACCCTCTAAAACCTCTGACGCCTTAAACCTCATAAATCCCAAACCTAAACCCTAAATCTCAAAGCCCTAAAACATCCTAAAACCTCTCAAAGTGCCTTAGCTCTAAACCTTAAAACCCTAAACCCCTAAACGCTATATACTCTGAACCTTAAGCCCGAAACTGCTAAAGCGTCAAAAACCTTAAACCCCAAGCCCTAAACCTTACCCCCCTGACCCCCATAAACCCGAAACCCCTAAAGACTCTAAAGCCCCAAACCCTAAGCCCGAAACACTCCAGGTTGTTCTAAACCCTAACCCCTATAACACCGAAAGAATCTCAAGCATTTAAATAAAGCCTTCTCACATGTAAAAGCTTCTAACATTTCATAAAGCCGCTCAAGGTCGGAATGCTGATGCCGTTGGCGCAGGTTCGGGAGCCCTTCTCTGCGATCCGATGGGTTATGGAGCGATCTTTGAGGCCTGGGACGTAGGGTTCCAAAGGGTTAATGACACAGGAAGTATAAGCTTAAGCTTTCCTTTGAAGTTCAAAGGCAAGCTTAAGCGGAAGTGATTAAAGGCCCTTCTGGAGGGCTGGGACCCACAGGCCAACCGCTCATAATCCAGAGGCCTGCATAGTTGTAGGCGAAACCCTATGTAAGATGTGATTTTCGGTCAGGGCTTGGGGCGGAAAATATACTATTGGATTCTTAAGGGAGGGTGGTTCAAGCCGGGAGGGTACTAGGGGGCAGAATTAGAGGCTGCTCGACTGTCTACCCCCGTTGGACCCTTGTCCCTTACGGATCCCACAACATACGAATTAGTTGTGTGTTTAGGGTCCAGCGATTAGGCTTGGCTGTAGCTTGGGCAGTTTGGGGTTTAGGAGTAGGTCAGGTTTGCTTCAAATGTCCACATTCCAGTTCTTGGCACCTTGAATGTTTAGCGAAGTGCCACCCGCTCGAAGCGGAGTTTTGGGGTTTCAGGGTCTGGCGTGCTTTAGGATATCTTAGGACGCTTAAACCTGCAAAAAACCACAAACTTGCGACTGCACCAGTTGCTCGGCTTGAGAAGTTTTAGAATTTTTGAGCCTCATAGGACTTAGGGTTTCGGGCTGCGGGTTCTGATGCCCTCACCCGCAACTCGGCGATCACCAATCCATAAAAGGCCACAACTTTAGGCCCTAAAGCACTTTCCTCGGGAGTTGGTATGAGCAGATTCAGATTTAGATGGTCTTAGAGCTGCGCAAACACAACAAGCAGCCAGCAGAGACGTGACTGGGCCCTTAGACTAGTACATCTCGTTTGAAGCCGGTTTCTCAAATGGGGTGTGTTATTGGGGGTTGTGGGATCACTTCAAGAAACCCAAAAATCCTAAACCCGAAAGGCGTATCGCAATGAAACCTACAACTCTTGTCCTCGAGCCAGGCCTCTTCCGGAGCATCTGGGTCTGTAGCTTGGATCTGGATCACAGCAGTTTATGGCATAGGGTTCAAGGTTCAGGGGTTTTAGGTTTAGAGTTCGGGGTGCAGGAGTTCGGCGCTTGAGGTTGCGGGTTAAGGATTTAACAGCGGTTTGGGGTTAAGGGTTTCGTGAATGGCATTTGGGTAGCCGCAGAAGGAATCACATGAGGAGTTACCCAACTGTCTCAAATGTTGCTTGTGGCTTCCAACGACATCAGTTGTTAGGTTTGGCAGTTGGGTGGTTGTCAAAATTATGGGGGGTCCCATTTTGGGTCCTTAATTCAATGCGGCACCTAAAATTTAAGGTGCCCAGCAAGAAAGCCTAATTTTGACAACTACCCATGTTGCGGCTGGTGGTCTTAGATTTGTTTCGATCTTGGTCTCGTGTGAGAGCCGTTATAAACTTGCCTTCACCTTGAAACCTAAATACCCTCAGCCTTCAACTTTAAACTCTAATCCATAAAAAATCGTAGCGATAGTCTAAGCCCAATTCCTCTAAATCCTGAATTTGAAACATGCCTCGGTTTGGAGCTTTCCACCCACACAGAGCCCTGGATCTGGGTCTATGACATCTATGGGAAGTAAATCAGATATAAGTATTAAGTAGTGATATTCAAAAGTCGTTAGATTATCTTGGCTTGTTTCTAGCAGCCTTAAACCAACCGAAAGTTCTAAGCCCAAAGCCCTAACCCCAGCAACATTAAACCCCAATCCTAAAAGCTGAAACCCGAGCCCTCAATTCTCCAAGCCCTAGAAACCCTAAACCCACCCAGGAAGCCTGTCACGTTGAAGCGCGTCTGGGAGCTGCAAGAGCTGGGCTTGGCACCACGGCCAGGGGGTTTTAGGGTAGTTAGTGGAGGGTTTTGGGTTTATAGTAGGGCTTTTGGGGTAGGTCCGGGAAGGTAGGTAGTTTTGTGTTCAGGATGCTCAGTTCAGGGTTTCGGGAAGCCAGGTTAAGGGGCAGGGCCAAGTTTCGGGTGGATGATAGTTCCTATGGGTGGATTTTGGGTTTACAGTAGTTGCCTCGTCACACGTGTTCTTGCCGGGAAGAGGGGTTGTTATAGCTCACGCAACCTCTCGCGGCCCCGTGCCAAATGCATGTTTTTAGGCTGTTCAGGGTTCTTGCCTGCTTCCAAAGCGGGGGGGGGGGGGGGGGGGGGGGGGGGATGATGATATGCATTGTCAGCTTCATCAATTGCAGCCTTTCCGGGGAGATGCCAGCGAATCAGAGCAAACGTTGCTCTGCGGACGCCATGGACACAACCTGCGGACTTGTTCTTTGCCAGGCGCCTCTGCGTTTCGTAAGCTGCGGGCCGAGCGGTCCTCCAAGCGTGGGCGCAAGGGTCGTGCGCTGCGGGGCACGGGAGCTGCTGCATCGAGGAAACGAGGGCCGCCGATGAAAAAGCAGTGGCTCAAGCCTGCTCAGAGGAGGAAGCAGTATAGTGGTTCCTGCCGGAAACCGGACCGTGCTTCTAGCGGACATCGTCATTGGCGTGGCCCCAGTTCAACCGGACAGACTCCTGAATCCGCTCTGAAGGAGCTGATTCAAGCCGGCTACGTGCAGAGGGCACTGGTCCACAGAGTTTTGGCTTCAGTACCCTTTCAGCAGGGCACTAGTCCACAGAAGTTTGGCTTCAGCACCCGGAAAAGTGTGCTTGCATGGGTACCACAGCTATAAGGAAACCCCTAAGTCTTATTTTCCATTCTCTGCGGTAGAGCTCGGTTCGAGCGCTCGCCTAGCATAATGAATTCAAGTTAAGGTGAAACAGGCTCATACCACCGAAACGGGGTGGTGGTCCCCCCTTCGCGCCTGGCATGCCTTTAGGCTAACCAGAAAAGCGCCAAAATTCAGATCCCACGGCCTACAAGTCCTACGGGTGAAAGGATTTTCCTGCACATCGGGCTCCAATCAGGCAATCCCTTTCCCCGGAGCCCTCATGCCAGGCCGCTTGAAAGCGCAAAGCACTCAGGGCCCAGCGAACAGTCGGCAACAACTGTACAGACCATAAACACTACTACTAAATGGGAGAACTGAAAAAGCCGTGGGACTAGCTACAACATCCAGCGAGCTATACATTACAAGTTATTCTCACTGGCCTACTTTAAGGCTGCACCCACACCATCACGAAAGCCGCAACACTTCTTCGATGGTCTTGGGTTGCCTATGCTACCTCACAGTCGATCTCGCCTTCGCGTCAACTCTGAAGGTTGTGGGGGTTACTTGGATGCCCTGCGGGCTCTGGTTGAAGGCATAGCAGAACATCAAACTCTGCAGGCTGTTGGGTAATTGGATGCTCTCCGAAATCCGGTTGAAATGGCAACCAAACATGAAACTCTGCAGGCTGTTGGGTAGTCGGACGCAGTCCAGGCTCTGGGTGAATGCAAAGCCGAGCGTCAAACTCTGCAGGTTGCTGGGTATTTGGATTCCATCCAGGCCCTGGTTGAATGCATAGCCAAGCCTCAGAAGCTGCTGGCTGCTGGGTAATGGGATGCCCTCCAAGCTCAGGTCGACATGCGAACCAAACGTCAAAATCCACAGGTTACTGAGACATTGGATGCTCTCCAGACGCTGGTTGAAATGGCAGCCACACGTGAAACTCCGCAGGCCGCTGGGTAGCCGGATGCCATCCAGGCCCTGCTTGAATGCACTGCCGAGCGTCAGACTCTGCAGCCTGCTGGGTGCGTGGATGCCCTCCAAGCTCTGGTGTAAATGGCGACCGAACGTCAAACTCCGCAGGCTGCCGGGTGATTGGATGCCCTCCAAGCTCTGGTTGAAACGGAGATCACATGTACTGTGCAGGCTGCTGCGTAGTCGGATGCCTTCCAGGACCTGGTTGAAATGGCGACCAAAGGCGAACCTCTTCAGGCTGCGGGGTAGTTGGATTCGCGCCAAACTCCGTTTGAACGCATAGCCAAGAATGAACCCCTGCAGGCTGTTGGGTAGTTGGCTGCCCTGGTTGAAAACCCGGCTGAACAACCATCTGCATGACATGATCTCGTTCAGGGCAACTTCATCTGCAGACAGGCTTCTCCTCGAGAGGGCGATCCCAAAGAATAGCTTCCACACCACGTACGAGATCTGGGTCGTTCCCTTCTCCATTGGAGCAATTGCATGGGAACTGGGGCTCTACGACATGCCTCGCTGATGAGGAAATTCGGGCCCTCCTAAGTCTTAAACCCACAATCCTAAGGCAGTACTACTACTACTACTCCTCCTCCTCCTCCTCCTCCTCCTCCTCCTCCTCCTGCTGCTGCTGCTGCTGCTGCTGCGACTACGACTACGACTACGACTACGACTACGACTACGACTACGACGACGACTACGACGACGACGACGACTACTAGTACTACTACTACTACTACTACTACTACTACTACTACTACTACTACTACTACTACTACTACTACTACTACTACTACTACTACTACTACTTCTACTACTACTACTACTACTACTACTACTACTACTACTACTAGGAGCAGTGCGACTTCCTGCACAGACCTCAAAGATCACTTTGCAAAAGACGCACGACTTACAAAAAACATCGTCTAAACCATACACATGCAAACCTTCGAAAACACTGGCAGGCGTGTCACTTTTGTTACTACGACAATGTTCTCCTGCTGTCAACTCAAGAAAAAAAAGACGATTCCGTGAACCGCATTAATAACCAAGAATGCTGGTATTCGTGGGACAAATGCACGATTTCGCGTGCAAAAACAACGGGGCCACCAGCGGGTTGCGTGACCTTGTTATACGGATGACATGGTCATATGTTTTCTTAGTGGTGATGTAGTTGTGCAGGTTTTTTTGAGGCTATTGGGGCAGGGTTTCGTATCTTGTCCGTTGCTGGTCCCATGTTACTCTGTGCAAGTGACTTCTATGAAGCAATTCGTTGGATGACGCCCAAGATCGAGAACCAAGCTACGAGCTTACTTGAACTCGGATGCCCTAAGCCCGAAACCCTCTTCCCCTAAACCTTAACGTCGAGCCCCCTGCATTCGAAATCCCAAATTTTGGAGACTCCGAGCCTAGACTCGCGAAAGGTTTAAGTTCGCCAGCACCCCTCACCAACGCCCCGAAACCCTGAAAAGCCCTTTCTATACTTTGTAAACTGCAGGCAGTTGAACGCTAAACCGTCAACCTAAGTTTTGGAGCTCTGTCGGCACCAGGAGGAGTGGACAGGCGCAGGTACTCAGAAACTCTCAAAATCTCTTAATACTTAATGGTTGTTTCTTCGGGATTAAAGGGTTTTCTAGGATTCGCTTTTAAGGTATATGCCGATGGGGATTTTTGGAGTCTCTGGGTATTCGACTGGTGGCCGGGGCGACGGGTATGAGTTTGAGCTGGCGCCGTACTCGTTTCGGATTCGGGCTTCAGCGTGAGGATTTTCGGGGTTTAGAGTTTCGGGTGAGTCCACCAAGGCGTTGAGTTTTACTTCACAATGGCTGCTTTTAGGTAACAGTTTCCAAAACCCTAAACCCTACACTCCAAAAAGGTATAAAAGCAGGGTAGTCTAGAACCCTAAACCCTAAACTCTAAACCGTCCCAGGTTTTGGCTTCAGGATTATGGGGCTCCCGGTTCCTTGGTAGACCTGGAGCCGGAGACCGCGCCCTTTCCTGCTCCCTCGTGCCAAGTTCTAGAACCCCATACCGGCGTTCATGCAAAACCTGAATGCCCCATCCTTGTTTAAGCCCTATTCACCTTAATCTGAACCCCCAGCGCTGCCCAAGCCCAAAGCCCAAGAAGTAAGGAAACTTTGCGAGTGGACCTGGTCGCTGCGGAGCAGGACATCAAATCCAGAAAAAAACTGGGTGGCCTACGGCTTTTTCGGATTGTGGAGTGAGTTGAACTACAGTTTGAGTCCGAGAAAGCCGTGATGCAAAGTTACGCCGCACTTTTCCTTGAGGGCTCGAACAGGTGCGACAAAGCATTCATTATCACTGCACCGGCCACACTTTTTTTGATTCTAGACTTCCTCGTTTTGTGATCTGCAGTGATTTGGGTCTCGGTTTGCAACTCGATTTGCCTTAAGACTGCATATAAGAGTTGTTCAACACTCCGCGGGCTATCTTTGCTTCATCCGATCACTCAGTTCAATTCCCTCGCAACTTCTTTTGCTTAGGGACAGCGACACTTGTCCAGGAGGCCGAACTGCCAACACCGATCATGCTCAATCCGCTTCCAATTCGTGTCATTTGTTGATTGGTCGGGGTGGCGCCTTATGTCTTATGACAAAGACTGGCAAAGTGGACTCAAACCTCACAACAGCCCGCTCACACCGGATCCTCCTTGGGAGAGAAGCTTCTGTTCACTGGTCAGGAAGACTCCAGAAGCTCTTAATTTGTGCGATGCTCATTTTTCTGTGGTCTTGTGGCCCCCTGATGTGATTAAAATCTTTTTGAGCCGCTCAGCTTTCGTGGACCCTATCATACATCCCCTGTTACAGTCTTGTTGATTTTCTAAAACAACCCCTATGTCCAGCCTTCGAGAGGAGAACGATGCCGTGCCCTGGTCTCCCATGCTACTTTGTGCCCAGATGGCCGCACAGCCGCTGTCTCGGTGAATAAAAGCAGCGAAATGCCCTCAGAAACCGAAAGCCAAGAGGTCAGGACTTTGGGTTTTAGGGTTTAGGGCAAAGGTCCACTAGACACCAGCTGTAGACAAAAGCACTAGCAAAGCAAGGTCTGCTCTTCATCGCGTTCCGTTCTCAAAAGAGATCTTCCGGGTTCTTTCAAGTGACTTTAACGGGGTTCCTGACGCACCTCGTGCAGCGAATGCTTCAGAAATCTTCCGTTGGAGTGATGATTCTCTGCTGATCATGATTTCGACTCGAGAAGAAAAGTCTTGTACTTGAGAACTCTCTACGTGGGTCTATGTGACGTTAAGGTACTGTTTATAAACCAGCCCTCAGCCCTAAAGCCCTAAACAGTTTCAATGCGCTTACCTTGTTGCAGACCGTTCGATCGAGCTTGGATTTCCTAAGCTTTCGTTAGTGGGCTTCTCAGCAGTAGGGTAGGGAACCTTTAAGCTGTTGGGAGTACCTATACTATCCGAAAGATGAAGCGTAGTTCCGCTAGGATACTTTACTAGACAAGTATGGCTTCGCTCGATATTGTCAAGATGTCGCGCTGCCTTGCCATTGCTTGCAGCATGGTCCTGTGCTGCTCTTTGTGGCTTGTCGTCCGGCATCCTTTACACGTGCGGAGCACCCTGGTACCAGCCCAACACTTACCACTTCGTTACATGTTTCAGCGTGTGCAGACACCCGAGCTAAAGCGCTTCGACAGCCATTGGTTTGCTCTGGCAGACAGATACGAGATGAATTGGCTCGAAAGCTCCCCGGAATGCAAACAGTCCATATGCGAACGGTACCTAGACCTGTTCGTGGACAGTTTCAACCGTTATACAGACTTATGTGAAGATCCCGCGAAAGTTTCTTTCTTCCTCCAGCTAGACGAGGAAATCTACTCTGAGCTGGAGCTTGCATGCCGGCAGGCCCTTGGCGAAGATGTTGTTCTTGAAGTTGTGGGATCTCGTGCTCGAGGCACTGGATATAGCACTCAACTTGACCTGGATGCAGACATCCAGGTTCGGAGGAGTGGGCGACTGAATGTGCCTTTCACGGACATGGACAAGGAAAGGGTCGCGCAAAGCCTGGAGTCGTTGGAGATGGTCTCACATGTCAGAATTGGCAGTGTGGCTATTAAGTTCAATTATTTAGACATACCGTGTGATCTTGTGCTATGGAGGGAGAGGCCTGAAGTGTTTCCTGCACTTCGTGGAGGGCACGATTTCTACCGAAACTCTGCCTGTATAAACGCTTTTTTCGACAGCATGCCTGCAGCAAAGGCTGCCGCTCGTGGCCTAAGAATCTTCCTGCCAAAGGGAGGTCGGCCGAAAGGTATCCTGCTTGATGCAATCACATGGCGAGTGGCAAGCGCCGCGCGCTTTCCTCTAGAACGTGCAGGGGTACCCATGAGGCATGGAGCATACAATTTGTTCCTAACGGTTGTGCAGGAAATGACGTTTTGGGAAGATTCATGCTTTGCATTCGACCTGATGCATGATCTGTCGTTGATGTCTCAGCGGGAAAGGCAGAAGTACACAACTGGATTGACAAGAGTGCGCGACATCGCCTTGGACCACCGTCTATATAAGATTTTGACCATGTGCTTTTCCGAGACAGTGCAACATGAATACGCGCATGTTTTCGGCAAGTCCCTCGAGCTTGAAGTTCGGAGAGCCTTGAACGAGGCTCCGGAACAGGAAAGTGCAACTGTAAGAATGACTGAAGTGCTTCATCGACTGGAGTGGTATTTTGAGAATGCCTTCTCTGAGAAGAGCATCTGCGCTGGTCAAGTTTAGGTTGGCAAACACGTCGGGCAACCCCGCTTGAAGGTTCAGGTGGTTTGAAAAGCTGGTATTCTACGTAAGACCTGCTTAAAATCAACCTAAGCATCTAACAGTTTGGACCTGCGCCCCGAAGAAATTCAACCGGTTCAAGTTTACCTCCGACTTCTTTCATTTTCTGCTGCCCGACATCTTTAAGTTTCATCGGTGTTGACCAGTCTGTGCACAAGTCAGGAAGAGATAGCAAAATGCTGACATATCCGAGGCTCATGACGGCTTAGCTGAGAAAATGTAGGTGCTGAATGAAAAGGTAAGATTTTACAGCATCCCCCAAAACTTATTCATTCTTAAACCCCTACAGCTTATCGTGAGTGTCGCGACATGTCAGGCGCATGAGCAGTCATTGGCATTCAACCAACAGCTAGTGTCAAACATACATCAATTTGGTGACGACGGCGTGCCCTGCGTTTGGATAGAGTATTCTTCTTATGCCTACGTCGCAAACCTGGAGCATTCATCATTGTAGGCCCACATCATTTTCGCATTGAAGTTGTTCAGGGGGTTTTAGTATAGACACGAGACGCGCTTCGGGATTGTCGGAGTGGCAACGGTTCTGGCCCTTAGAACCCCAAACCCGGTCGTGGCAAATAAACCTTCACTGGGGACAAAGTCGAGGTTCTTGGAATGGCTGTGGTTCAGGACTAAGAGCTTTCATTGTGTTTATCAGGGCTTAGGAGATTGAAACAGGTTTGGGCTTGGGATCTACCAGGATCCCGTGATTAGGGTTGAGAACCCAGGTCCTACATTTTGGTGCATGGCTTTCACTCACGCATCAGGGTCCTACCTTAGATATACCTGCTACACCCACCTTAGCCCGGAAACCCTGGAACCGCTTTCGAACCCTGAAGTTTTGAACCCAATGCCCGAACTCTTCTCCCCTAGCCGGGAAGCCTTATTGACTGAACAGTAGGAAGGACAAGAATTAGATTAACGGAGCTACGTGGGAATTCAGATACATTACTTAGCACCCCCAAGCAATTTCAGCTTGTGAACTTCAGCCTTTTCAGGTTTAGGGCCCTGAGTCAAAGAAGCAGAGTTGCAAACCATGAAGCTCTCAACCCCTTTGTCCGACACCTCGAACCTCCACAGGCCCCACCGATTTAATTCAAACACTCATACACCCGGATGGGTAGGGGGCCTTGATACCCCAATAAGGACCTGATAAGAGTTTAACCAGGCCTACTTGAGTAATAGTCCCCTGACCCCTTCCCCCTTACTGCCCTGAGGTTCCTGGTGAAACACTGGTTGGGTTCAGGCTCGGAGACCGCCCGAAAACCTGAGCCTCCGCAGCCTGAATGCCTAGTTGGATTTAAGAGTCGGCCCTAAACCCTAAACAACCTTTAAAGAGTCGGCCTCTGAGGCGTGGCTTTATGCACAGTGGCCGACCCGACTGCGTGAAGGCCGGCACTGAGATTCTCGAGCGAATCCTGGCTTAACTGGGGTTTCACCTGCTTTTGTTGTTAAGGGTTAAGGGTTTTTAGTTTTAACAGGCTTCAAGGTTTAGGGTTTATCTGATGTTGTGGCATCTCAGTGGTTTACTATGTGTTTTGGTTCATGGGTTTGCGGTTTAAGTTTGGGGTTCACAGGTTTTTTAACACTACCCAAAGGCCCCAAAGTAGTTCCTTTTTGTGGTTCACATATAGAATTCTATAAGGTAGTCCCCAAAAGGAACTACTCTGGGGCCTATGGGTATACCCTGAACCCCGAGCAACTTCACAGCACCGAGGCGTTCTTCAAGGGCGTGTCCCCTACTGCGTGCCCCCACCGCCGTCGGGAGGGAGCAAAGCAGCCCCTTGGCTTCAGGGTTTTGCGATAATATATAGAAGCCGAAATAGTTACAGATACTATTCCTTGCAAAACCCTGTTCTAACCGTCTCGTCTGCTACATATACTACTTCTTGAGACCCCTATATTGGGGTTGCAAACGGGATTCGGATGTAGAAATTATCGGCGAGAGGCTCCTTGAGTAGGATTCTACAGTTTTCGAGGTTGAGGGAAAAAGGGTTTGGAACTTGGGGACAGCTGAGACATGTTTTCTGAGCTAACTGCTCCAGCTGTTTCGCGTCTTGCTGCTCGAAAATGAGTGCATTGAAAGCGCTTCCGCGTATTTCGTTTCTCGTCTCTGCATCAAAACCTGCCACTGAATGAAGCATCCCGTGTTGTGCCTGGGGTGACGGATTTTGGTTTTAGGATTGGGTTCAAATCACGGTGTTTGTTCGGGAGTAGGGCTTATCGGATGTAGGATTTGTGCTGCGAAGAGAAAACGATTGAGACGGGACAGTTGGCCCACAGACAGTGCCCAGAAACAAAAGTCAGTTGCAAAAATTCCAATGCAGGGTCGACAGCAAAGGTTTCTTGCAACACATTTTGAGGAAGCTTGTGAGCTATAAACCATAAAAGCCCTTAAGGCCCTAAATGCATGAATCCTAAACCCTACGGAAGGGGACGCGGTGGGCGCTTGTTTGTTATTTGCGGGTTGTGTTTATACAATAGTTAAATATTTAGATCTGGGCCCTCTCTCCCAAACCCTAAAACCCTAAACTCTGAGATCAAATCCTCTACACCCCAAACGGTATGATGTTGAAAGTCCTCCATTACGAGTGCCGTAGCCGCTGAGCAGCTGGTTCCACAGGAGAAAGTGACATCGACTTTGGGGTTTTAATTGGGGGCGGTTTAGGGTTTAGGGAGTTTAGGTTTAGGGCTTAGGGAGTTTAGGTTGAGGGTTTAGGGAGTTTAGGTTTGGGGTTTAGGGAGTTTAGGTTTAGGGTTTAGAGTTTACAGGGTTTAGGTTTAGGGTTTCGTTCAGCACGCATAGGGGCTTTACACCCAAAACACTGAACCCGAAACCTTCAAATTTTCAATTCCCAGAGCTGTAAGGTCTGACCCATGCAGCTTCTTCACGCTGCACGTTTTAGTCTCTATATGTCCCTATACAGCTATACGATCAAATTCCCCCGAACCCTGTCCTTACTATTCAGTCCTCTATGCCGTATGTTACCCAAACAACCCTAAGCCCTCTAAACCCTAAACCCGAAAACTCTAAACCCTAAAACCCTAAATAAAGCTCTAATGCCCTAAACCCTAAACCTCCTAAACCCCCTAAAAACTAAACCGCCAAGCAAATCCAAACAACCCTAAATCGTAAACCCTACATAAATTGCAAACCGAAGCTGCCAGGCCCAAGCAGTTGATGACGGTGAGAGCAGCAGCGACTACGCCTGCGACGATGAGGACTACGAGAGCGAGCAGGACTTGGGTCTCGAGTTTAGGGTTTTGGGTTTGGGATTCAGGGTTCAGGCTTCAGGGTTGGCTTGAGGGTTTAGGGTTTAAGGGTTTAGGGCTAAGGGTTGGGGTTAAAGGGTTTGGGGTTTAAGGTTTAGTCAGGGTGGTGTATTGGGGCTTGGGTGTCGGATTTATGGGGGGGGCTTCAACCCTAAATCCTAAACCCCACGAAGCTTGAAGATCCCTGGACCATGGACACTTTTCAAGCAAAATGCCTGTCAACTTTATCCCTTAAACCTTTGCCCCCCAAATAGGGTTAAGGGTTTTAGGGTCTTGAGGGTTTAGAGCTGGTCCAGCGCCAAGCCCAGAAGCTGTGTGGCGAAGGGCCGCCGCGGGACCCCTCAAGGCCTGAATATAACTACCCAGAACTTCGGGAGGACCCCTAAAAGTACCTTATCGGGGTTCCGATAAAAAGAAACCCTAAACCCAAAACCTTAGTATAGCATAGATCCTCACGGGTCTAAGTATCTGGCGCAGGCTGCGGCATCTTGGAACCTCACAACCAAGAGCCTCCCACACAACTCCGAATGCCCTACCTTAACCCTGAAGAACCTACCTTTTTAGGGCTCCCTATGATGATTTCCTTGTATAAGTCCTTAAAAAAGGTAGGATATGCAGAGTTAGGGTAAATCCTAACAGCCCTGAACCCGAAAAGCCCTAAACCCTAAGCCCTAACCCGTAATAAAATCTTAAAACAAGGCAAGACCCTGAGACCCTAAAAACAATGAGACCCAAAAGCTCCAAAAGCCCCAAAGCCAGAACCCCGAAGGATTGTTTCAGGGGGTCTAGAGAGGGGTTCTTTACTTTATTGGCTGTAGACTCAACTTTTCAACTTTTGGGGTTCTTATAAGGTAGTCGATTCTGAAAGTTTCAACTTTTTTTTCCTTGGTTTTTGGAGCGGGGCATTCTTCCAGGATTTTGCCAGCGTTTCTTCCTAAATGCCTAAGACCTTCGTCCCAAGCTCTGCTCCGGCAGCGAACTCCCTAAACCCTAAATCTTAAACCCTAGACGTTAGTTTCCTAAACGGCTTTAATTCGGTTGCGTGCGATGTCTTACTCCGCGGAGCAAAAACAGGCACACCCGGGCTGGAAGGGCTTATGCTCCATCGAGTTCTGCGAAAGATGACCACGCCTTGCATCTGCATTGCTGAGGCCAGCAAAGCATTTAGCTTCATGGCTTTTTTCCGGCCGGAGCCCGAAGCCGGATTTGCACCCTCAACGCCCAAAACCCTAAAAGCCCTAAACCCTAAATGCTAAACCCTAAATCCTAAACCCTAAACCCTAAAAACCCTAAATCCCAAAACCCTAAATCCTAAACCCTAAACCCGAAACCCTGAATGCTAAACCCTTCACCCGAAAAAACCCTAAACCCTCAAAGCCCTAAATCCTAAACCCTAAACCCTAAAAACCCTGAAAACCCTGAAAACCCTAAACCCTATAAAATGCTAAAACCCTAAATCCTAAACCCTAAAAGCCCTAAAAACCCTAAGCAGAGGAAGAAGAGGAGGTCGGAGATCGAGACTTGCTGGAGCTTTATGGTCAGCCTCCCAGAGATTTTGAGGGTTTTGGGCTTCAGGTTTAGGGTTTTGGGTTTAGGGTCTACTATCCGGGTTCTATAGGGTTTATGGACTTTTAGGGATTCTTTGAAGGTTTTAGGCCTTACGGTCAGCCTCC